CAGCACAAAGTCAATATACGCCTTTCAACAGTTCCTCAATGCTTAGTCTCAACAATGTGAAATAATAAAAAAGCTTTGTTTAAAAAAAAAGTACATAGGGTACAAGGTAAACAAATATGGCAAATGCAAATGCAGAAAGCCACATGTTTTTGTGTAGCCAGGTCATCCGTCACCATAACAACCTCACAACTGCCTACTGCTGGTGACGACAGAAAGGAGGACAAACAATCCTACTACAGTCACCTTTATGGCCTCAGCTGCTCAGAAAGTCCAGTGAGCGTGAATCATGCTGTTTTTACATAATTTTCCATACTATCTAGAAAAGATTAGGGCAGTGTCCAGTGTTTTGGATAATGACTTTATCTTGAACAATGGCCACATTCATGAAGGCAGACCATAGCTTAGCAGTTTGTTTTGTTCTTTTTGTCTTTTATCAAAGGCGCGTTATCGCACACACTGGTGCGGCATGAACTGCTACAGGGTATTTGAATGGCAAATTGTTGCCAAAAATCTGTCTCTGCAGCACTTTTTTAGGAATAGGCAGGACTTTGACAGAGGGAGCTATAAAATGACAAGTTTTGATAAAGGCTGAGAGAAAAAAAAAAAACAACACATCACATGGTAACAGTCAAATGTAATGATAAAACTGGACTGCGACTGCTGCAAAAACTTTTGGGTCTCTGCGAAATTAATAAAAATCTTACAGTCCCTCAGATGGGGAAGACCTTAAAGGCCCAACATGGATAAACAAGATAAATCTGAGGGGTTGTGAGATTTAAAAGATATAAAAAGATAAGAGAAAAAAAGAAAAAACATCTATGCTACACAACATTGTGTTTATTTTTGGACTTCTCAAATCCTTGCATTTTTCTTCTGAAATACCACGGACCTCCTCCTCAGAACATCAGTAGTTGAACTGCTTATAGACAAATCTGTAATGAGGCGTCATGACAAGGCATTGCTTAGCTATAAAGGGTCTCAAGCCAAAAAAGGTTGGAAACCAGTGGTGTACGTAATTGCTTCCCATTCACAGTCTTATTCCCGACATAAGAAGCACAAACATGTGCGAGAGCAGAAGGATAGAGTGATGAGACCAGAGGGAGGAGAGAGAGAAGACAAGGGAAAAAAGTGTGATAAAAGAAAAGTAAAAACTGTAATTAAGACTCTCCTGACTCACCAGAGGAAGCTTGTTAGGAAACGTGGACCCCCTATCGAGGGGAGAGGGATAACTTGGACTCTTTTACTTGTAATTAAATCTAAGAGAAATTAATTGAATCACATCTGAAAGGGATCAGACTCATTTACAGTGGAAGGAGGGAGGCAGAGGAGGAGAAGTTAAGGGAGACAGAAAAGGAGGCGAGGAGGGGAAGAAGGTTTTTTTTTTTTGGCTCTTATCGACTCCTAAACCTCTCTGATAAGGAGCCGTGTTTTAGAGGTGGTGCATTGGAGGCCGGCTGAAGACACTCTTATTACAGCCGTCACCTCATTAGAACCATCTTAATCCCTCGCCTCCCCAAGGCACCCGTATAATAAGGCTGGATTCTGCTTCTCTCTCATTTTACATCGAAAAAAATTAATTGCTGTATGGGCTGAGCTAAAAGACTTCCAAGGCAGAGAATTAACTAAAGAAAAATGCAAATTGCACCCAAATAAGTGAAATGTGAGGTTTTCCATATACTTATTTAACTTGACATGATAAAAAAGGTTTTAGAATAGAATTGTTAACCACCAGCTACATACATAATGTGCATTAACTACAGAGCAGCGCCATACAATATCTCACATCAAGACTTGTCACACAACACTACCACTGACATATGTCTTATTAAGTCTGAAGAAACCTAATTAAATGTTGAGCCAGGACTGAATTTCAGCTTTGAGATACATTATGTGAGTGTGTATACACACACACTGTGTAAGAACCTTGTGTTAAGTGCACTAGCTGCTTGGGTGGAGGCTGAGTGGAGGGGTATCAGTGACTGGAGCGATTGAAAGAAACACCGCTGACTTTAAAAGCCCCACCTGAAGTGCTGACACATATCCAATAGACCACATGCGTGTGTAAGATGTGATGTTTTAACAAACTGCTGATCAAAATATTTAACTTGAATGATTTAGCAGCTTTGATTACAAAAGCATCATCCTGAAAATGCTGCCAGGTCTGTAAATATATATAGCACAACAGTTCAGTCACTTAAGATTCTTGTTTTTTGCTACTGTTCTTGACTTTAATATTTTCCATGTGAGATTTATGCATGCTGTTATGACTGGTATGCAATAACATATATACATATGTATAACTCATTTTATATAAATCCTTGTAGTGTTTTTATATTACACACATTTTTACTGATTCTTTATTAACTAATTACACAATCTTTTATTTTACCTGAACCTTAAATATTGCATGTGCATGTGTGACTAAATGCATTTTGTATTCTCTAGTAGACTATTGTATTTGTTGGTTCCTGGGATGTGGACATGTGATGTTAAGCTGCATGCATGCTACCTACACTCTCACCTACTCACACTTATAAACTGTTATTCTGTTTATTGCCCTGTTATCTCATTCATTTGAGCCACCTGTCCTGTAGACTGCATGTGACAATTTTACCCTGAAGAAGGCAATATGTGCAAAAGTGAATCATACATTTTAAAGTTAAAAGACTGCCAGTTATGAGTGTGCATTTCTCTTCTCTTTCCTGTGGTGTTTGACTTATCATACTTCCTGGTGTACAGGTGCAGGGCTCTAAAGGCTCTGTGTGGCCTAAACAGTGGAGAACATAATTCCCCACTGCACATCGCAAAAAGCATCATGCACGAGCAAACAACCAACAAAATCAACCAACCAAAACCAAAATAACTCTCACAAATCAACCAATGAGTGATTAGCCACAGATTACATTATCAACCACCATTGTGCTGGCTGGATGTGTCTTTTTTTACTGTGTAAATACTGCACATAGTATTTCCTTTAACTAGTTATAAAGCCTTGTAACTAATATGTCTCGGGTGGGTGCCTGGGTGTGATAGGGGTCGGCCTCTTTCTGCTGGTTAACTAAGTGCTTCAAGAAAAAAAGAGAAATATATATTACAAGCAAAGAAAAAAAAATACTATCAACTCTAGCAGCACCCAAGGACGGCAACGCATCTGGCTAAATGAAGATAAATGCCTGTGGACCATTAGCAACAAGATAAGATCTTTAACAAGCCTTGTTTAAGAGTGTCTGAAGGCAAATTAATTCACAGTTACTCCGCCGGCAGACAGTGTGTTTTCGTGTAACGCATGTATATTTATGATGGAATTAGTTTCAAAAGGAAGTCCCCAGAGGAGTGTTTTTGAGTGGAAACACTGGTACAGTGCAATTGATTTCACTCTATTTATGCACTTTCCCACTGGCAGTTCGTCTCCCACAAGCAAGGAGGCGGTTTCTAATCTTCTATGTAGTATCCACTAATAAAGAGAACGATCAGTGAGTTGAGACAGCAGAGCAAACACAGTTAACAGGCAGATTTGTAATGATAATGGAGCAGAAATAGACTTGGCTATTTAACATCAGGGATGAATCATCCTAAGGCAAATCTATCCTTAACTGTATTCTCCTTGGGTAGAATACAGCAGCATGTCTTTTAAGTCATGATAACTGAGAAAATAGTGAAAAAGAGAGGAACTGTCTCAGGCTCTGAAGTCTGAAAATGTGCAGCATAAGCATGTGCTCTGTGTTGTGTGTGTGTGTTGTATGTGCGTGTGTGTGGACATGAGTCAGTCGGTCTAAACTCACTTCCATAATGAGGTCCCCAGTTTGGGGACAGTAAACGCACTCCGCAATTGAGTGGTTTCCAAACTACGAGAAATGTTTACTTAGCAGCTGAGGAAACAGAAGTCTCCATGTGTTTCGGGTTAAAGGCACATTTCCGCGTTGAGAGGTATAATTGCTAAGCATGGCGCACTTCGAGCGGCGTGGTGAGGCAAACCCAGAACGCCGCAAACGGTGAATGATAAGTAGCTCACCAGCTCCAACATGTGTTTCCCATCACACATCCCGGACCTGAAAACAATTTCCCAATTTCCCCCATGGCCTGAGACAACAGAGGGCCTTGTGCCGACTCGCAGGGAAAATTTAAGATCAACACTATAGCTATAAAGCAGAGTTTATGATTTGTTTAATGGGTGTTTTGATGTGAATTATACTTTTTATACACTACCGCTGTCCAACAAGGCACTCATAGCAAATGAAGTAGACACTTTTTAATCCAATCTGTGATTTGGAGATGACGACTGAAAAGAAAAAACATCCCTTGTCCTTTTAAGCGGGAGGGAGCTCATTGTTTAAAGTGGGCCTACAGCCTGCCTGACAGAAAACCTTAGACAGTTCTGTTCAACATGGGATCAAATCAGATCATCGCTCCCATGTACTCACAAACTGATTTGCCTTTGACACCGCTCAGAGAGACTGTGCCGCTGAGAACTTGAAACAGCACAAAATGAGCTATTACTTGTAAGGTTTTGATGAACCTCGTCCAGGGAAGAGATTCATATTTTTCTTCCTCGTTTGTGCCGAAGCAGATGTGTCCGCATATGTTTTCCTGCGATATCCAGATGCTACAGTGAAACACCCATGTGCTTAACAAGCTGTGGACATAAAACATTGTCTAAGATTGTCTCTTCCAAGGCACTTTTTTAGAGCCCAGAGATCATAAAGCGATTTACGAGCACCGTTATAAAAAGCAAGCAACATTTCATCCCTGCACATAAGTTTTTAGAACAATCACTCAGTCCGATTCACCTAAACACTTACAATTCTGAGTAGATTATGAACACTGTCTATAAAAATCAAGGCGAAGAGGAACGACAATATGGTTAAAGATTATGGTCCCATGATGAGATGCACCATACTTTTTTGCAGCTTGTGTTCTGATGATATACAGTATAATAAGACTGTCCGTCTTGGGTAGTTATGACTCAGGCAGCGCAACAGAGGCCTCGAGAAACCTTTTCTCTCTCCTCATCAATCTGGAGATTTCAACCTGCAACTTTACATTTACTGAGCTCTTCTGTAATTTCAGAGTTACTGCCTGTCTAGCTTTCCTCAAAAACATCAATCATACGTAACAGACCTTAAAGGTGCAGCCCATAACTTTCATGTTCAATCTGCAGCAAAGACGCACTTATTGCCGGCTTTGTAAAGTTGTTTCATCTCATTGTTGTTAGTTTGCAGTAAATATATAATTACGCAAAGATGTCATTTAGTGAAATGAATAAGTTAGATGGTGTTTTCAAACAAACAGGTGTGACTTGATAAACCAAATTTTATCTCCAATGTGCCAATATCTGCTTTAACTAAATTACAATAAAAGCTGCTAAACTCTTGTGTTTGACGAGTAAAACCAGTGAAAGGTGATGCCTAAAAGAAAGAATTTTTGCCCTGATATTCTAGCAAATTATTTGGTAAGTGAAGGGTGCTGTGTTTCTGATGAGGTGGTATCTACCTCTGCTGCAGCCAGTTCCTGAGAGAGCTCCTGGATCCTCTGTTGCTGCTGGATCAGGAGCTCCTGCACGGAGGCCAGGGTCTGCTGCAGCTGGCTGACTGTGAAAACAAGCAGAATAACAGACACTAAATTCAGCACAGTTCAAACAAACATAAAAAAGGAAGTCAGACTGTCTGTTAAGGGTGTTTAGGTGCCACAGAACTGAACATTTTCTTTCCAGAGACGATGACAGAACTGATGAGACTCAACTTGTGTCACACTGATCAAAGCTGTCCTCTAAGAATTGTAATCACAGCTAATACACGGTAACTTTAGTCGCAGCTTTTTGGTCCGAGGTGCTGGGGGTAGAGGGTGTGAAGGGGGGGAGGCACATAGGATGGAGATATTAATCTCTAGTGCCTGAACTTAAATCAAATAACAGTCTCTAACCTTCCATTATCCACCCAGACACTGCCTTCTAATGCATCTTAAATCCTCAAACGATCAACAAAGGAAAAAACAAGGCTCTCATTTGGGAGGAGGCTGCCAGACAAAATGTCCCTCCTAATCCTAATAAATATTGTTCTTTTTCCATTGACTTTGAAGATTGAATTAGTTCAAGTGTTGGTGTTGGACGAGGGTGTATGATTTCAAATAACACCGGGCACAGTTTGTTGCCCCCTGCTTCCAGTCACGCGTGTATTACCAAACAATGCATTAAGTTTCCCCGAGCTGATTATATTACAGAAAACCAATAAACATTCATATAAATCATGGGCGTGTAAAGTGTTAAATCAAGCCTAATAGGATTAACATCAACAGATATTGTGGCGGTCCACTGCTGAGGTTGTCAGGCCAATGGTTAAAAGCCTGAGCTGCAGCCGGCTGGACGGGATGTAAAGAACCCTCCTCTCACATTAACCCGGGCCAGGACAAAAGACAGAGCCCGGCTTGAAGGCTGTGCTTCTTTTGAAAAAAACCAACACAGACAAAATATTTGATCTTTCAAAGAAGCTAATATCTTGTAGCGACACCTGTGTTTAAATGGGTGGAGTTGTATCAATATAGGTGGGGTGCTGAAACGTTTGATCTTTTCATGCTCGCAGAATCCTACGGGATACGAGTTGGAGCAGGATCGTTGGTCGGGGCCAAAGACCATTGTGCAAACAGTTTGAGTTTGTTAGTCGGTTTGTGATCTAGAGTGTGACCAGCCTTTCTGAAGACTCTAATAAAACTAAATTAGCACGGCCATCCCTGCTTGAAAAAAAAAAAGGTGTTACTACTATATGACAGGGTGTGCATGCTAAACCAAGAGCTGCCCTATTAGTCTCTGATTCCACCTCGCCACAAAACAGCTTATCCAGATGTGTGGGTCAGTCTGCCAGCCTGTGATGCTGTGCCTCCTGAATTACCACTGGCACCACTTTTTCAGCCACTTCAGCCAAACAGTCCGAGTCTTTTCATGTCTCTCCACAAAGTTGACTCCTTTGTACTGTTCAGACACTTGACAAAAATGCTTAACTTCTTATCCCCAGTTATCACAGATATGAAGCCAAGAATAATGAAGTCAATGACTTTGGCCAGGCATGAATCAGAAGGAGGCTGTAGTGGCAATATGTGTGTGTGAGTGTGTGTGTGAAAGAGAGAGAATTGGAGACAAGATGATGTGTGAGGCTTGCAGCTGCTGTGAGGAGGGTGCACATTGTGTATTCAGTAAATTATTCAGTAAATACCTCGATATAATGTACACTACATATGTCCAGGCCTGTCTCTGTCTTTAATGGCCAGCTGGTCACCAATATGGCTCCCACCGACAAAGAGTGCCCAAACAGCCGCACAATTCCATTACAGCCTGGGTGCGCTGAAGTAGTTCCAAGATCCATTCATTAATTGTCTGTGTGAAGTTGTAGGCAAATCATAATGGGAGTCAAGGCCCCTACTCTCGAGCTGGGGCTGGCGAGAGAGACTAATGTGGTCCCCATTCAAAAGGATACATCACCTCATTGCGCCCGGCACTAGAGAAATACATGAACTTTAACAAAAGGGGGTTCAAGCAATTGGCAGCAGCGAGGCAGTTGGTCGCTATTACTCAGTGCAGCGAGGAGAGAGGGAGCGAGAGGGAAAGGGAAAG